TGCAGACTCTCTCTGTGTGCACTCTCTCTCTCTCTCTGTGTGCAGACTCTCTCTCTGTGTGTGCACTCTCTCTGTGTGCAGACTCTCTCTCTGTGTGTGCAGACTCTCTCTCTCTCTCTCTCTGTGTGCAGACTCTCTCTCTCTGTGTGTGTGTGTGCAGACTCTCTCTCTCTCTCTCTCTCTCTCTCTCTCTCTGTGCTCTCTCTCTCTCTCTGTGTGCAGACTCTCTCTCTCTGTGTGCACTCTCTCTCTCTCTCTGTGTGCAGACTCTCTCTCTGCAATTGCTTTGGCAATACAAATGTATAGTTTTTGTCATGCCAATAAAGCACTCTTAAATTGAAATTGAAATTGAGTCTGCACACACACAGAGAGAGAGACAGAGAGAGAGTCTGCACACAGAGAGAGAGAGAGAGAGAGAGAGTGCACACACACAGAGAGAGAGAGAGAGAGAGAGTGCACACACACAGAGAGAGAGAGAGAGAGAGAGTGCACACACACAGAGAGAGAGAGAGAGAGAGAGTGCACACACACAGAGAGAGAGAGAGAGAGAGAGTGCACACACACAGAGAGAGAGAGAGAGAGAGAGTGCACACACACAGAGAGAGAGAGAGAGAGAGAGTGCACACACACAGAGAGAGAGAGAGAGAGAGAGTGCACACACACAGAGAGAGAGAGAGAGAGAGAGTGCACACACACAGAGAGAGAGAGAGAGAGAGAGTGCACACACACAGAGAGAGAGAGAGAGAGAGAGTGCACACACACAGAGAGAGAGAGAGAGAGAGAGTGCACACACACAGAGAGAGAGAGAGAGAGAGAGAGTCTGCACACAGAGAGAGAGTCTGCACACACACAGAGAGAGAGAGAGAGAGAGAGAGAGTGCACACACAGAGAGAGAGAGTCTGCACACAGAGAGAGAGAGAGAGAGAGTGTGCACACACAGAGAGAGAGAGAGAGAGTGTGCACACACAGAGAGAGAGAGAGAGAGTGTGCACACACAGAGAGAGAGAGAGAGAGTGTGCACACACAGAGAGAGAGAGAGAGAGTGTGCACACACAGAGAGAGAGAGAGAGAGTGTGCACACACAGAGAGAGAGAGAGAGAGTGTGCACACACAGAGAGAGAGAGAGAGAGTGTGCACACACAGAGAGAGAGAGAGAGAGTGTGCACACACAGAGAGAGAGAGAGAGAGTGTGCACACACAGAGAGAGAGAGAGAGAGTGTGCACACACAGAGAGAGAGAGAGAGAGTGTGCACACACAGAGAGAGAGAGAGAGAGTGTGCACACACAGAGAGAGAGAGAGAGAGTGTGCACACACAGAGAGAGAGAGAGAGAGTGTGCACACACAGAGAGAGAGAGAGAGAGTGTGCACACACAGAGAGAGAGAGAGAGAGTGTGCACACACAGAGAGAGAGAGAGAGAGTGTGCACACACAGAGAGAGAGAGAGAGAGTGTGCACACACAGAGAGAGAGAGAGAGAGTGTGCACACACAGAGAGAGAGAGAGAGAGTGTGCACACACAGAGAGAGAGAGAGAGAGTGCACACACAGAGAGAGAGAGTCTGCACACAGAGAGAGAGAGACAGAGAGAGAGTCTGCACACAGTCAGACAGACAAAGACGGCGTACCGGAGGAACGGGAGAACGCGCTCTATACCCTCTCTAGCGTTCCACGCGTGAAAACGGCCGGAGAAACGATGAGCAGACCGCGCGTGTGAGCGGTGCCGAGGCGGGACGCGTGATTCCAACGCGCGCCGGGGTTTGATTTTGACCGCGAATGCTTTTAAAACGAGTCTTTTCCTCCAACGCCCCCCAACCATTAGCAGCTCCGCTAGCGGTTAGCCACCATCACATCTCCCTCATCCGCCAGAAAACAGCAGATACGAGCGGCGAGCGGAACGGGAACCCGTCGTACCGGAGGAACGGGAGAACGAGCTCTATACCCTCTCTAGCGTTCCACGCGTGAAAACGGCCGGAGAAACGATGAGCAGACCGCGCGTGTGAGCGGTGCCGAGGCGGGACGCGTGATTCCAACGCGCGCCGGGGTTTGATTTTGACCGCGAATGCTTTTAAAACGAGTCTTTTCCTCCAACGCCTCCCAACCATTAGCAGCTCCGCTAGCGGTTAGCCACCATCACATCTCCCTCATCCGCCAGAAAACAGCAGATACGAGCGGCGAGCGGAACGGGAACACGTAAGGTGAGGTACTGCCACTCTATTTAACGCTTGTCCGTGCGAGTTTCTTGTCCGCCGGTTTCCGTTAACGCCCGGGATTGTCCGCGTGGTGCGCGGCTGAGATCCACAAACAAAGGCGACAATGTGACCGATCATCTCCGGCTAGCGGCGCGGCTAACAACACTTCAGTTTCAACTCCAATATCTCCGTTTAAACTCACAATTCAAGCCGCGAACTCCGCGTAATAACCGCTTGGTACGAAATAAACCCGCGCTGAGGCTACATCGCGGAGCTAAAGAGCAGCAGAAACAATAAAGACAAAAGGGACGCGACGCATGGAGCGCTAAACAACAAGCACACTCGCTTTAGCGCACTGTAGTGTGCACTTAGACCGCTTCGAGCGTTGCTAGATGGGTTGTGTCACTTCTCAAGGTGTTTGATGGTTTTAATTGTGTCTTTTCTTCTAGGAAGCGCGCTCGGTTCGTTGTCTGATGCGCACGCGGCGCTACTATGCCTAGCCCGTTGTTTCACCCTGACATCATGGATCACGAGATGGTTGTGAGCAGCACCGGACAGTCCGGCGGGGTCACCGAGCAGGAGTCCCGGGACGAGGACCATCAGGAGGCGCTGCGCTTCGCTCTGGATCAGCTGTCACTCATGGCGCTGGAGAAGGTCGACTGTCTGGATGGGAGCTCGGCCGGTGAGAACTGTAACGGGGGATACGTCGATCTGCAGATGCTCGAGCACACGAACGGCTCCCGGGAATCGCCCGGCTCCTGCTCGCCCTCTCCGGAATACTACGGCTCGGGAGGCGGCGGCGGATACCACATGGCCGGCCCGCACTCCTCCATCCTCGGGGAACAAAGCTCGGTGCTCCGCAAGAGA